AAAAAAGCCGGCCGGCCGGGTCTATTTAAAAGTTTCATGTTATGAAAACCAAGTAATTAAATTTGTATGGCCTAATAATTATGTTGTTATAATTTACTTATAATTTCGGTTTCCATAGATTCTCGCTCAGAAAGATTTCCTGACGCTTTCAAAACTGGTGGCGGCTGATTAAATAAAGATATAGTTATTATCTGATATTGATAGATAGACTTATATTAACCATAATTTATTGATCCATACAGCATCCATGACGCCAGGTTTCTTTTTTTTATTTGGTGCAAAGAAACTTCCAAAGAACCCAGCGTTCTGTGATTCGGTATCTGGTAGCGGACTCGAATTGGTAAGATTGGTAATACTTCCACGGCCTGTTTTTGGATCTGCAGGATTTACTTGCTTTGGGTTATATTTATCGTTAATAGCTGCAATGACTTTATGGCCATTTAAGAAATCTGGATGACCAGTGTTAATATAACTTGATTCCATGCTATTGAATAAAGGATACGATCAGTGAAAAAATCAAAATTTTTGTAATTAATATTGCTTTCTTTACTAACTTAACAAGGTCTTGCACAAGTTTGTTTGTCGGTGTCAGAGCTTTCTTGTAAAAGTTAATGACAACAGTATAAAATTTTTCTTTTAGTCCAGGGAAACGCTTGAACAACTATAAAATAAAGAATATTTTAGTACAATATTACAATATACATTCAAAAATATAGAAAACAACTCTAAATTATTTTCCAGCTTACAAACCTGTTTTTGTAGCAATTGAGATAAAATTCGAACCAATTCTTCATACACTAATGTCACACATTTTAAGCTAGGTTCTTCTAAACGCTTAATTTGTTGTTTTATGATCACTTCAAATGCAGTTGAGGCAATAAAGAGAGAGGGTGCAGATCCCTGAAAAGAATTATTTTAAGTATTGTTAAAACAAAATATATTTTAATTAGAGCTTTGAAATCAATGAAAAAAAATTACCGATGCATTGTAAATTATCGTTCTAATATCTGCATCTTTTATTTGTTCAAAAGGATCTATTGATTTTACACCGTTCGAAAACACCTCATGGAAGACAAAACTGATACGTGCACCGCCAGCCAACTCGAAAGAAGAAAGTTCATCGGATTTGCCTTCAATGATCGTACGAAACTCTGTACAAAATTCCGTGATAATATTTAGAACAATATTGGCATTACTATTAAAACCATCTTCTAAAGGATCTCCAAGCTGTTGTAATTCAGTCTGATATTTTGCGAGCACTGCTTGAATTTTGGCTTTTATTTCGGGGAGTGTGTTTCTAATATGATGCATTAGTATCTAATTCAATTAAATAAAAAACGATTTAACTTTCATCGGAAAACTACGTAATATAAAACGCCTCCCGCTATAATCACATATTCCAGTCAAACGTTTTTATATGTTATTGCGGACTTAATAAGGACTGTGACTAATGACGAGTGAAAAACTTAAATGTAATTCATAATCAACCCAAAAATTGCGTGATTATAGACAATTGCGATGTAACTATAGTGGGAAGCGACTGCAAATAATTAATAATCAGAATACCATGTTCAACTTTCTGGCAAGAAATGGTGTCCCACAATATTGTGCTTTGCTCTTGTAAGATTGATGGTTTTCAAAGAAATTTTTTTCAGCTTCAAGCGCAGCAGCGATGGCTTTTCTGCTATCAATATCCTTTTGACCACGATTTACGACAGGTACATAACCTAATAAAAGAAATATTAAGTACCCTGCCTTATTATGTTATTATTGAATAAATATAAATGTACTCACCGAGGCGTAAAGGAATAATACGACCCGCCAGAATGTCCACGACATCTGTTCCTTGATCCCTATTTAAAGGGTAAATAGTGATAAAATTTAAATGGTCATTGAATGCATAACAATTTCCTACTCTAAGCTTATAAAGTTTTATAGTAACTTACATAAGATCAATTTTTGTAAGAACTCCGATAGTACGTGATCCTAATGAAAAGACACAAATTTAATAAATAACCGCCCACTGAGGTTGACTTATTGGATAATATAATACTAGAACTGATATGGACCTTCAGGATCTACCTCACGAGCCAATTTTAATCCATCCGAATTAGCCAAGTCAGTATTGGCAGCAGTGACAGCAAGAATAATAGCATTAGGTTTGGTAATATATTTTAAAATCATTTCTCGAATTTGTTTTTCGATGTCCTTTGGCTGATCTCCAACAGGCACCTGAAAAAGTGGGAATTATTCGTAATGTAAGCATGAATTCAAATAATCGATCTCAATACACAACATACCTTCGTAAGTCCAGGTAAATCAACAAGTGTTAATGTAAGTACATTAGGAGAATATATTCTTAAATTTATGGGTGCTGGAGAGATACCTATTTATCCATGACATAACAGAATCGCAGTTAATGAAAGCAGATCCTTAAAACAATATGGGGTAAATACTGACCAGCATTTTTTCCCGTTTTTGCTTCAGTATCCTTGACAATCTCATCACGAATCTTGTTGAAATCAGAAAATTTCACACCCGGAATGTGTAAAAATTCTCCCCACTCTTCTTCATTATTTGGAGACTCTGTTTCTTTTGTAGCTTCTTTTTTTTCTTTTTTTGGGGTATCAGACGTATCTTCGGCTTTTGCATTTGCCGGTCGATTTATAAGTTGCAAAACCTAAAAGAAATAAACAAAGATTATTTTTTTTTTTACTTATAAAGTACACCGAAGAAAAAGACATCATGTATCCGAGAAATTACATAATGAAATATCAATAAATTTATTATGCCTATAAGCATAACCTAACGCGTTTTACAGAAACAGCCTATTTTTTTCATAGACTGACAAAGAAACTTGAACAGCTTTGGTTGGAGCAATGCAAGTACACTTCAGAATAATCACACGTAAAAAAAAAATCCAACACTAACCAAAGGTCTTCGGGTTACAATACCCGTACCTCTAGGTAAGAAGTCACGCCCAACAATATTTTCTAATACTGAACTTTTACCACTTGATTGAGAACCAATAACTACAATTTGCGGTAAATCAACAGGATTTTGAACTCCGACAGTCGCAAAGGCATCCTGAAGTTTGTTAACTGAACACCTCGAATTAGTAGACAGAATTTTATAAGTTAGTGCCTAAGAAGTTTCAAAAAAATTACCAGTTTTAATTAATGTAACGTCCATTGCAACGACGGGAACAAAGGTATAAGGCTCAGTTATTTAGCAAATTATTAAATCGGCTAAAATAATAATTTGTTGGCGTATCGAGCTAACGAACGAGCAACAACTTTAGCAATGCAAAGTCGCACAAAAGCTTTTTTTTCGTTCAAACGTCAATCGATTCTTATCATCATGTGAATATATCTCCCGTGTTACCTGTTACATACAATAGTCATCTGATTAGTTGATAATAAAACTTTGAATGTTTCGTATAATCAGATTCGTAACGATTTAATATAAATATAGATAGAACAAGAGGATATTCATAATTCTTTCACTGAATTGCAGAATTGAATATTCGAATATATAAATTATTCACCAAATTAATTCATATTCATGCAAGATCAGATGTTATGAATCCGACAAAATAAATCTTTATTAAGTATTAGTTTTTCTATCTATTTTAATGTAGTCAAGAGACATGTTCACTGAGTACAATTACTTATAAATCAAATTGAATTTAGAATTTATTTAAAAACATAAGGTAAGTATAGGTATTATGGCGCAGCGAATTGATCAAATCTGATCACTGGATTTACAAGATATTGCCAATATACCATAACAATATAATAAAAACAAAAGTCAATTTTGTATCGTATATGATCAGTGCAATTCGTCTCAATGAGACGAATCGAATGGTATGAATTGCCAAATTACTATACATTTTTTTTATAATCATATCTTCATCTAGCAATCAAAATTGGACGATTTTTATATCAATTAGTCTCATTGATTGATAGTAGAATTCTAGATCTTGAGATGTTGCTGGTGCATCATAATACCCCTATTGCGCCACATTATGCTTTATAATTTGTGTGCATATGATCATCAATAACTCACGACTCTGTGGTCAAAATTGATACTATTCGATTCTCTTGATGAGATGAATTGAATGGCATAAAAATCGTTTAATTTGGATTGATAGATCACGAGTTATACCAGATTTTTATTTTAACTGCGCCATAATACCTATATTGTAATATAGAAAACTATTCTAAGTGTTGCTGCAAAAATTGTAATAAAGTAACTTTGGGTAGCTAATTACTACTTGATTTAATATGTCAAAGGGTAAGAAATATATATATCAATAAAAAAAAATATATATAACACCAAGAAAAGAGAATATACACAATATTGTATATATAGTCAACTACTTTAAGTGCATGTTTTCTAAGTGCAAGTCATATTAAATTCTCTTTAAAAGCAGATTTTTTTTTTAGTTCCAAGCTATATAAAGTATAATAAACTTATATTTTCTAAGTGCAGGTTCTTTCTAAATGCAGAATTTTTTTTTTACTTAAAAAATTTTATAGGTTCTGGTAAACTGTATTTAAAAGAAGTCAACTATATATACTTAAGCTTAACAAAAAATAGTATTTAATAATTAATCTAAGTAGTATAATGTATTTACTATATAGCAAGGAGTTGGAATCCTGTGGCCTAGTGGTCTAGGCACCCAACCTTCCACAAGCAAGTTTTGGGTTCAAGTCCTAGTAGATACATTTACTTATAAATATTTGGAAGTATTTGCTATAGAAAGTTCAAGTGAATACAGGTCTGGATTAGAAATTTCCAGAAAGAGGTCCATTGTAGAGTAGTTGGCACTATGTGTAATAGTGGTTGTTACAGAAGGTTCTATTATACAAAGGTTGTGTATATAAATCTGTGATTAGCAAGGTAGCACCAACAACCTCTAAGACAGTATTAGGGATCTTGTTTGGGAGAATGACTAGGTGGTAACTAGAATTGGAAGTGATAAGAAATGTGATAAACACAAAAAGACCTGTGGTAAAGAATTGGCCTTACTAGATTTGGAACACCTTTGGTGCAACTACTTACTTGATGAGAAAAAGAACAAACTTCTATAGAGAGTTGGCTAAAACTTGGGGTATGTGTAACTATATCCGAACGTGGGCGAAATAGCTAGAAGCACCAGGCTGAGAGTGTAGCAATACACGAATGAGAGGGAAAATATTAATAAAAAGCACCAAACACTAACGTAAAAGTGAAACAGACCGCAAGTCCTGATTAGGTCTATACCTCTAAATGCCTTATAACCTGAAATATTAGGACAATAGAAACACCAAATATATCTGGGGAAACTCAGAATAATTTGAAAGATCTGGAGTACAAAAAACACCTTTGGAAGTAACTTTATTACGATTATTCTCTTACTCTCACTACCTACCAACTATGGGAGTACCTGTTATCAAGAATTGGCAATGCATATAATACACCTATGATATTAACTGGGACATAACTCTGTGAAACAGCTATAGTGCCGCCTTATCTGCAAAACTATACCTTGTTAAGTGTAAGCTCTACATGATATTAACACATGATGTAGAATCTATAGTAGCTGGATAAAAAGCTTGAATTAGGGAAGCAGAGCAGTTTGACCAATTTGGGAGTAACCATTAGGTTATAAGGCCTTCTACGGGATACCAAAAGAGAAAGTCGCATATTGTAAATATGAGAGATGCGGTGAATATAGAAGGGAGTTATGTGTACAAATTAGATATAGTAGTTAAAAATCCAGGTTGTATATAAGTAAGATATGGAATTCTCTAGTAGGTTTAGGTTGCAGATAGTAGTCAAGACCTGTCTAAGCCGTAATGTACTTAATAATAGTATATAATAATTATATCACATAATATATACAAAAATATATATGCTTATAATAAAGTCACGAGGCATGACCTCATCTTAATACTGAATATATATATATATATATTTACTGTATAGCAATATACAATAAATTACTAAAAATTGATTTAAAAAAACATTATACAAGTAACTTTTTATTAGCTAAAATAGATTTAATTAGTGATCCACTAGTCAAATAGAGAATAATCATAGTGTTACAATGCTATGGCTTTCTTGGTTACTATGTAGCAAAGTAACAAGATTACCCAGTGTAGGGACCCTGCTATTGGAGTGTACACAGAGTGGAAGTGAAATTATACACCATCAGCAAAAAAAATAGACCGATATATATCGATTACTAGCCGAGTAATTATATATCGATACCAATCACCTCTGCCAATTACACACGATCGTAATAGTAATCGATATATAGTAAATTCGTTTACTAGCGGTAATACTAAATATCGCTATATATCTGATTCGATTAATAGCGATATTTGATAACATTCGATTATAAT